CATCTTTCTCTGCTGGCAAATTAGCCACTTTAGCCATATTATTTTTCTGTCAAATGTCCTAATTGCTTCAGCAGCAGCCTTGTCTGACAAGTGACTTGAGGTCAAGGCCTTAATGTAATTTTTTTCTCATCTTATTTTTTTTTTTTCTCTCCAATAGATTACACAATTAGATAGATTTCTATACAGATAGGATAGTGATTAAAATAATGAGTGAAAAAAAATCACTATGCAGTCCAATGGAAACTGAACAAAACTGCTATTGTTAGACCTGAGTAGAAGCTAAGGCACAGGTTTGTCACTGAGTGATTAGTATTACAGCCAAAATTAACCCTTGAAGGACTCAGCTCTGTTCTCTTGAAACTGGTTCTTGTATGAAGAAGCACAAATAAAAAGAAAAAAACAAAACATGATTTTGGAGAGCACTGCTGAGGCTACAGCCAATGTCTCTAATGACTGAACTTGTGGTTGTTGTGAGGTTTTAACTTACAGTAGGTGGGCCAAGTTTGTTTCGGCTCTGTAGTAAAAGTGCTCTAGTTAGGTGAATTCAAACTTGCAGATGAAGTTGTTTAACTGTGGAAGTGGTATGTGTCAGAACTATTTCTTTCATTTCTTCTGCATCAAAATGAAAGCACCATAAGTCAAACTTTAAAATCACAAAGAATTTTAAGGAACAGTCATTATAATGCTTAAGAGACCTGTTCAGACAATTTTTCAGCAGCCTCACAGAAATAATTTCTTGAAATAAGACTGTGAATGGAATCCCTAGATTGATTTCAGATGAAATCTGTGCATGATTTGGAAAAACACTTTAACTTTTCAAATCTTTCCTCAAAATCTAGAAGTTGGGAATATATTTCAGAGATCCATGAGAGGAGGAAAACACTGTTCAATTTTTATATTTAAACCTGGCCATTTCTACCATTTTGTGCTGGACCCTTTCTGTCCTGCTGCTGTCACTGCTTTTCTCTCACTAGATAGATTTCTGTGGTGGCACTACCAAGCTGTGCATGCTAGAATGAGTCTGCAGAAATTTCTCAATAGCTTTGTGCAGAGTCTTTAGTCTTACTGTCAGAGACAGTGAGAAGAAAAAGAGATTTCTATCCCTGTCTCAGATGATAGAGCATGGCATTCTGTTACAAAACAAGGTAAGCAATACTAAATATGGATAAAAGATGAAAATCCCTACAGTCCTTACTCAGACAAAAAATACCACAAAATAACAAAAATCTGTCAATGAAAACTTTCATTATGCTTAATTCTAAAATTGTCCTGAATTTGAAGAGCTCCAGTTTTATGAAAAGTATTTCTTTTCAAGAGGATCTCCACCTAATGCACCAGGCAGTGAATGCTTGAAACTGTTATAGAAGATGAGATACAAAACTCAAGTTCTGATTTCAGTAAAGTAAAACAAGATTACAGGGAAAATAATTATTGAGTGGGGAATCTACAAACACAAAGTAAATAAAAATAGATTGGGGGAGCAGGAACTGAATGGGAATTGAAACTCTGAGTAGCTCTTTAATTCCAGACTACGGTCCAGTAAAAGGCAGTGAGACTTGTACTTCATGTAACCTATCTGCATATACTGCTTGGCTCTCCAAAAAATTGTTTTTCAGTTCCAGTGACTCAAACAACCAAGACAGTTTGCCTTTTATAAAAAAAAATTTGAGAAAGCAGATAGGTTTTGCAGTTCTAAAGATGATAAATCTGGGCTCTAATCACTCATTCCTGTCAATACTACATTCATTCCCAGAGTAGTCTCTGATTACAAATGCAAGAGCATTCAACAGAAATTACTTGGTTCTGGCCAACATCCAGAATTTTGGGGGCAATAACTATCAAAATCAACCTCATATCTTTCTTAGAAATGAGCCAGAAATGCTCTACAGTCCACAAAGTGTTGTTCATAGTTCAAAAAAATATAGGAAGACTACTGTCATCTGCAGCAGATAAGTCAGAAAATATGGTCCTGTGTCAAGTGCATTCCAGCATTTTTATAGCTGGTTATTTGCTTTAATGGCACGTTTGTCTCAGACAAAGGTTTTGAGGTTTCCTTTTCGTATTTGTGATATCAGGTGCTAAAATTTGGGCTCCTCACTATGGAAGGTATGGTGAAGTATTTCCCTTTGATGTGAAACAGTGTATAAAGGATTGCAGAGTTCCATTAATCACCTTGTGGCATTTCCATACTCCAACAGTGTCTAAGGAAGATGAAGCTTCAACAGTTCACTGCTTCCCCTTGACCTAGCAAGAATGAAGATGTATATGTTTCATACACATCATCTTTCTCTGCTTTATGTATGCACTAACTAACCCAATCTGAGGCTGTAAGAAGCATGACAGTAATCTAAACCACAGGGTGCCCTGTAGGGAATTACTCACCTTCCATTTCCTCAGCAGCAAGCTGAGAGCCAGAAGAAAGAAATGATAACTGCTAGCGTGACAACTCTTTCAGTGAATAGTTCCTAGGGCTGGGCAACTCAGTGCCACCTCTTATACTTTGTGAGATGGGAAATATTAGTTTATCCCTCAGGATATATGAGCTCAGAAAAAAAAGCTGAGGACAGGTAAAAACACAACAATGTGTGTTTGTCTAATATATGTGTGACCAAAGTGAATTTATGCACTAAAGTAAATAAGGAGATTAATTTATCAAGTTTTTCAAACACACTAGAGATCCCACAAAACAAAGGAAGCCTCTTTTTGTTTGTCATATTTCATTTCAATTCAGCTAAACATCTCTTCCTGTTTCCAGTACTCAGGCCAGCAAATCCAAGCCCTTTACGTTCTTCTGGAAGGATGTTACGGAAGTCTAAATATCAGCTGTATTTACAGTTCTGCAGTGTTTCAGGGTCTAAGTCACAGGCTAGGAAACCACCACGAGCTGCATCCCGTGAGCACAGAGTAACAGTCATTGTCCCAAGTGTGGAATATTTTGGATCTGTAATACACAAACTCCAGCAATGTTGTTTAATTCTCTTTTCCTGATGAGGTCTGTTCAGATTCAAAAGAATGACTGCATACTGAGTCTGTAGGGCATGGACTAACATCAAATAGTAAAATATTAATACAAAAAATATGTTGCCTTAGATTATGTATCAGAGAATTTTTTAATGCTTCTTTACCATCCAGAAGGGAAGTGTCAACATCATTCACAGACATAACAAATCTTAAAGAATCCCTGCTTCTGTTGATTTTAACAGTCTTCAGCCCAAATCTGGAACCAGAATCTGACATCACTGACACAAAAATCAGTGATTAGATCTCCAACCTATGCATGATAGTAAGATTTTGCTTTGATTCTGGAAAGTATCCCTGCCCTGCCTTTGAAAAGCCAAATGTTCATAACCTTAGTCTTCCATTTTGACATTTTTCTAGATCTGAATCTTACTAATGCTTGACCCAAAAGAAACTCTAAAAGAAATACTGCTGTCCTTTCCCTAGTCTTTGGTGAGTTTGAAATCAATCTCATAATCCCAAAATTAGATGCATTGGTTACAAAAAAAAGCGTATTGCAGTGTATTCTTTTGTGGCAACTTGGTAATAGTATCTGATAGCAGCATTATAGGCAGAACCTAGGGGTTTTTTTCTAAAAACACACCCAACATGTAGTGTTACACATTACTTCTTGCTTCTTAATGAGGCATGAAGTAGAATTTTTAGTGGGGTGATATTCAACTCCTGTCACAAGAGTAACCCTCCACATCCTCTGACTGATTTGTACTCACAGACAGGCAGAAGTGTTCACAGAAATGTGTTTTCTCAAAAATTCACTACACTTTCTCCCACTGCTTCAGAGCTAGGAGGCAAAACAAGTAACACCAGAATATTTATTCAGCCAGATACTACTTTATTTCAGAAAGGAAGCAGGATTCCTCCATATAAACATATATATATATATATCTATATATTTACACATTTACAAATGTATTTATATTTACATTAATTTCAACGTCTTTATAGGTAGATTTTGTATATTTTTATACACACATACACACATATATAGGTTTGTATGTACGTTTATATGTATATCTCTCTCTATATATCTATGTATCCGTGTATCTACATATATATATATATATATATACACATACATATGAATAGCTGCCAGGGCAGGAGGGCAGCAGGGGGTTCCAGCCGTCGGCCGATGCCGGACGCACCCGGAGGGCCGGCGAGCCCCGGGTTCCCGGCAGAGGGACCGGCGGGGCGCTTTGCAGGGCGGCGGGTCCCCGCTCCGCTCCCGAGTCGCGGAGCCCCGGTGGGGACGTGTCCGGCTTCCCAAGCGATCGGCGCGCAGGCGCCTCTCAATCCCCAGCGCCGGTGAGATGCTCTCGGACCTGGGAAGGGGATAGCCCTGCCATTCCCCGTCTCCTGCTTTCTGTCCGGCCCATCTGCAGCACTTTTCCTCCAGAGCCCTGGCTCAGATTATCTTTTTTTTTCCCCTAGTCGCTATTTTATTTTTTAATGACGCCCACCTCACGGGAGCCCGTTTGCTTTCTTCTAGTTCCCGCTCCTCCAAATAGCGTTATCTGAAGGGAGAGCCGCCTGTTGATTATCCCCGTCTCCCCTTTTCTGAGCTTCCACCCACCCTTTGCCCCCACCCCTCCCTCTGTTTGATTCCAAACCTTTGGATGGTGTTTTGGTGTCATTAGGAGATTAACATCCCTGGAGCACCAGGGGAGGAGGAGTAGGAGGAGGAGGAGGAGGGTGGAGGGGAAAGCGAGACTGCAGGCTGGAAGGTTGGCACATTAACACGAGTGAGACTCTCCTCCCGCCGTCCCTGCCACCCCCGGCTCCTGGGTGGCAGCGGAGGGGGTGTCTGCCGGCGCGGCGGGCTGCGGACGGCGGCTGGCGGGTGCGCCCCGGAGCCGCGGAGCGGCGGGGGCTGCCGGCGGGCGAGCGGCCGCGGCTCCTGCTCGCAGCCCCCCTCTCTTTTATGAGCAGCGAGGCGGCAAAGCGGCAGCGGGGGACACCTGGAGGAGCATTTCTTCCCCGGGTTTATGAATGGCACTGACATGGAGGAAATACCGTTTCAGAAAGTCAAGACCAAGAGGAAGAAGTGCTGCCACTGCTGCTGCTCCCCGCCGGCTGCCGCGGCGTCGGGAGCGGGAGCCGGTTTGGGGGACCCCCCTCCCTTGCTGCTGCTGGATGCCATCGCCTGCGAGGACGAGTTTGACTGCAAGGAGCTGGAGGCTCTCTTCCAGAGCTACAACCTGAAGCTGGAGCAGACGTCCACCCTCAAGGCGCTGGCCGTCCTCATCGTGCTCACCGCCAGCCTAGCCTTGGTGGAGCTGCTCTCCGGCCCCAGCCTGACCATCTCCAAAGGTTCGCACCCGGTGCACTGCATCATCTTCCTCTCCCTTTTCATCGTTACCAATGTCAAGTACCTGCAGGTCACCCAGCTGCAGCAGATCGTCAAGCTCACCTTGCTCTTCAGCTTCACCTTCTCCTTCCTCTGCTGCCCCTTCTCTCTCGGCGCTTATGGCATGGAGCCGCCCAGCGCTCCCGAGCAGGGCATGTGGCAGCTCATGCTGGTAACCTTCGTCTCCTACTCGCTGCTTCCCGTCCGGACGCTGCTGGCCATCGTCTTCGGGCTGGTGGTGTCCGTCTCCCACCTCATCGTCACCGCCACCTCCGTCAGTGCCAAGCGGCAGCGGCTCTGGAGGACGGTGAGAGAGGCCGAGCCGGGCCGGGCCGGGTCGGGCCGGGCCGGGCCGGGTGCTGCAGCACCGCAGAGCCGCGCAGTGCCGGCCCGCCGGGGGGAGGCAGGGAGGGAGCGCGGAGCGGCCCGGGCGGCGGCGGGGGAGTGCCCGGAGCTGGCTCCGGAGGGAAAGGGGCGAGCGCGCACCTGTGCCCCAGGCTGTGTCTGTAGTTTCCGAAAGTTTCCGGGAGGCAGGTGGGGATGGGGTGACTCTGGGGAGACAGAACCTCTCGGTTCTCTCTCTGTCTCTCTTTGTCTCTCCAAGGAAAACGGGGCAGGGCAGGGAAGCCCGCGATACCGTGCCTTACTCATGGGGCAAGTTCAGAGCACCGCATGCACAGTCCGTGCAATACAGCGCGCATCAGTAGCACCACCTGGCTCTACAAACTTGGCACAGACAATAAGCTGCGTGTGCTAATAACACCTCCACCGAGTTGGCTCGTATCCTCGCTGTCTGTCTCAGCCGTGGGCCCTTCGTGCCTATGCACAGCCCATCTGCGGGAGGGGCTCTGAGGAAACGATTTGAAATAGGTGGGACGCTCAAAGAGGGAACCCCACCTCGCTGCTCTCCCAGCAAGCGCGGCATTCCCTCTTCAGCTTCCCCAGGGCACCTGCTGCCCCCTTTCCACAGACATTGCCTGCTAAAGCAGTGAACTTCCTAGCAATTCCCTTTTCCCTCCGAATTAATCCAGCAAAACCTCCCTCTGCAGCAAGCATCTTTAGAAACGTGCTGCTGCACTCTCCCCTCCTCCCCCGAGGAGCTATTTATATCCCTGCAGGGCTTTCTCCGGCTCTCGTGGCCTGATGGGCCGCACTGGCAGGGGGAGGAGGATGAGGAGATGCGCGTATAGGAAACGTGGGCTGGCAGTCGGGGTTTGCTCCTGAAGGCTCTATTATGTGGTGCGTCTGAACCACTGGGAAAGAGGAATTGAAAAATGTTTGTGTCCTTCCTTGCACGCATTGATTATGCCTGCCCTCAGGAGAAGGACACCGCTTCTGTCGTCCAGATTGGTGCTAAACAACAATTTAATGCGTAATTGAAGTACTTAGTACATTACTACTGCAAAATGCTGGCATTATTCTCCATGACTGTGTAAGGCTGTGATGTTGTGATGCTGGAACATGCACAGTTGACATGGGCATAAATACAGCAGGACTGTATACCTTTGTGCCCAGAACTGCAAATTCCTGGATCCTTCTTCCGTGCTCACACAGACACACACACCCCAGTGTGACATAGATGCACGGAATAGAGACACAGAGACAATCACTGAGTGGGGTTACTGAGACAAACAGGATTATTGATGGCTTCACGCTGCTGAGCTGGTGGACAAAATAAATTGTATATTTTGAAGGGGAAGAGAGAGATAAGCTGAGCTTTATGATTTACCCAGATAATCTGATGGTCTATTTTTAAATATGTGATTTAGAGTTTCCATGTGAGGAAGAGCTGATGAAATCCAGAAGCACTGAGAGAAGCCTTCCTAAAAAGCATCCGGAAGGATGCTAAAACCACTAGAATATTCCTTTTGAATAGGGCTGAAGATAGCTCTTTTTACTGGAGTACCAATTAGTCCTTATGGGAGTCCAGGCTATTCTGGCTACCCGGACACATAGGCAGACTTTCCTTGATGCCAAGCTGCAGCTCAGTGTGGCATCTGCTCTTGTAGGTGAGTAACATAAAGAAGCTGACAATAACGTCTGCTCACTAAATTATCTAACCAAGGTCGTGAATGTGAAACATTTTGAAGGGGAAAAAATCTGCTAGCTCTCTCCCTTCACACTAGTTTAACTCAGTTATTCAGCTGGCAAGAAACTGACTTGAAGATTAGTGGAAATAGTTGACTAGCATCTGATGTAACATATCTATGTTTCTTCTTCATCACCATCTCCCCCTACCAGAGTAATTTCAGTGGTTTGTATGCAGTCCCCAAAGCAGTATGCTTTGCTGATAACAGGAGGCAGAAACCAGCTGATAGTCAAGCAAAATAACAGGTTTGTGAACTAGTATCGCACAGAAACGCACACTGATTTGTGGCTTTTTGGCAAGGAATAAGTCTTCTGGTTTGAAGACCATCTCCATGTATGGAAGGGAATTTTCCCTCACAAAGAAGGTTTTTTTCCTTTTCCAAGGAACAACTTTGCAATGGTTGGAAGTTTAAAGATATGTAAAGGCCACATCATCTAAATTTTATTTGCTTGGCCTGAGAGTAGCTGAGCCTTTTTTATAAGGGTTAGAATGGACCTTTTCTCATGACTGGGATCTGTTTCCCAGACATTGGGTATTATCATGACAGCCCCCATGCTTGTAGACACAGCATGCAGTCGGCGTGTCAGGGAAGCAAGACTGCTCTGTGCAGAGCTGCAATAGCATGAAGGGCTCTGTTGTCTCTCCCAACCCCTTGCTCCCTAGCCCCAAGCAAGTGAATTAATTTAAATTTTTAAACAGATATCTGAAGAATCCAGAAATGCAGAAACACCTGCCCCAACCACTGAGACCAGTATTCCATTAAAGAGCTCTGACTTTTTTGTGATTTGGGCAGGGAACCCACTTGGGAATCAATTTCATTTTTGCTTAGCCTGAGCTTTAAGAGACTGCAGGTCTAGTAACTTCCATTGAAGTTAAACTGGAAATTTGTCAGCAAGACCAAATAGTTAATTTTTTTTCAAGTTCAATCCATTTACAGGCATAGCTAAGTTAAGGGATTTTTTCTGAAGTGAGCTTTTAGATGCGCATCTTCAATTTCACAAAGTCTGTGGAATCACCACTTGCAAATCTTTGAATGCCAAAAGCCTCACTAGCTTCAATAGTGCCAGATCAGAACATGAGTGCACCTCGTGGCATGCTTAATACTTGCATTCTTTCATATGTATGAATTCTCTACATAGTAAAACCAATGCTCTTTTTGGCAGAAGTTTGTCATGACTTCTGTTGAGTAAAGCACATTTAATTTGCAAGTGATAGTTTTCTGACAGCACAGTATTGCCTGTGGAGATCATGCCATGCCATGCCAGAGGTGAGACATAGGTATGTCATATGTCATATCAAGGCAAGAGGAGAGCAGGAAAGCAAGTACGGGGAGGTGATGAGAGTCAGGGGAATAATGTGACAGAACTTGACCTTCAGCTTTCCACTCAATAAGTGTTTTGTTCTTCAAATGAAAGATTCCAATCTACTAATATGTCATGCTCATTTCTAAATAGAAAGGTAGTAATTGATTTTATATATATATATATAATTAATGGTGTATATAACCAATATCACATTCATCATATTAGTTGGACTCTTTCCTTCAGAATCATGGAACAAAATGCTCCTGCCATATAAGGTGACAGGGTATCCATAAATGAAGTTTTAAAAGCTTTGACTCTTATCTCTTTTTTTCTTTTTTTTTTTATTTTCCCTTTACAGATTCCAGATACATGTTAGGTGCTTCAGAGCCCTTACAGAAATACAGAATCCTGCCCAAAGGATCTTAATATAATTTTTATTGTAATGCAGTGAGTGGGTGTTAGAGACATGAGGACCAGATGGGGTAAGGAAGGCAAAGGCTGCTCATAGAAATTACTCAGTGGTGGCATATGCACCATTTCATATCTTACCATTAAATAACTGTTTCTGTCCCTCAAAATATTTTTGTCCCCTTTTGTTAAAAAGTATGTTTTTTTCCAGAAAATTAAAAACCAAATCATATACTACCAAAGTACCCTCACACATCACAGGAGTCTTTGTGAAAGAGCAAATCTGCATGTGTAGCAAAGAGCAGAAGAAAGAATGGTTCTGTCATAAAGTAGCGCAAAATTTTTCAGGATTGTGGTGAAAAAAGTGGGTTCTGGTTAATTTGTTTGGGTTTTGGGGTTTGTTTTTGGTTTTTTTTAGTTTTTTTCTTGGTTTGTTGGGGTTTTTTTGCCTGCATTTAAAACTGATTTTATGCATGCATTTATTCAACTGTATGATAGTACCTTCATTGATTCAGCCAGTACCAAAAAGTGTAGTAGGGATAGATAGATGTGTAAAGGACAATGTGGGGGAAATTGGTATAATTTATTTAAAATAAATAATTAATTAAAATTTTATTTTATATTCTTAACTATTTGCAGGTTGTGATGTTATTATAGAATATCACAAGGAATTGTCATGCCAAAATTAATCTTATTTCTGCCAGTGTTTAAAAGGCAATTAATGAACACATCACTGGCAGAACTGTTCATATCCACACCTTTGTCTCTCACATAGAAGGCAGAGTCTAGTAGCCTAATAAAAAGACTTGTACATCAAAGACAGCTCAGCTCCACTGTCATGATTATTCAGTGCAAAATTCCAGTTTTCTCCTTCATGCATATAAAACGCTGGTGAGGGACTGTACTAGTTCATTCTTTGTGATGCTTTTCAAATAATAGTATCAAGAGTATCTCTAGAATTGCAGATATATCTGTGCACTAATAATCTGTTTGAATTCACTATTATCCTCTCTTTCCAAATACAGGGAGCACTATTTTTAGAGTTTCTCAATATCTGTGTGTAACTCTAAGTCTCATTTCATATTTAGTCCATATTGAAAGATTGTTAAAAGTTTGGGGGATTTTGGGGTTTTTATTCCTTCCTAGTCAAAGTGGTATCTTAATTTGTGGCATAGGTTTTGCCAGGTATTGACCAGAGTCACTTTATCGAGGGGCTGAAGCATAGGATTTTCTATGGAATGTAGAGTACAGGATCCTTCCCCACACAGAGATTAGTATGCTCTTGGGTTCCTGAGTCTGCAGACTGCTGACACTGCTATTCTCCTTGGATTTCCAAAAATTGCTGATGGTTCTGCATGGTTGAGAAAAAAGAAGCCTTTGAGAAACTGTCAAGAATCATATGACTTGGAGACATAGTCAACAATAGTTTATCTTAGAAGTTTAGTTGTTATTCATAGGCAATATCCCATTATTACTGAAGAAAAAGAGGACTTCTATTCAAAAAAA